CTCATGAGATGGAAACACCTCCCTGTGCCCCTTTACTGCTTGGGATAGACCAGCCATCCCCTTGGGCAACCATCCCCCTTGTCATCCCCTTGGGCAGAACCCCCCTGTTCAGATGCCTCAAGGCACTTCCCCTCCTCGTTGTTATTTACAGTATTTGAGTGTTAAATTAAAGGCTCAGCTTTTTGCTGTGCAGTGCTACACCTGCCCCCCTCTGCATCAGGAATAGTGGCACTGCAGCAAACAGCACAAAGCCATTCTTATTCTTTTGGGATTGAAGAGATAACCAAGGGAGCAGCAAACACCGCTGCTGAGCTCCTTTGTACACCCAGGTACAGAGAGGGCACTGAGTTCCTCCTCTGTCCTACCCAGAGAGGGACTAGGAGGCAAATACTTTGTGAATACACTTCATGACCTGGTTCTGATCTCACTAATCCAACCAAAATATAGAATTGATTCTGAGGAGTTACTCCTAGTTTTACTGGAGTTAATTAAACCAGGCTGTTGGGTTTTTTCCCTCATTCAGATCAGCCCACTGAGATTGCTTGTACAGTGACATTCAATGCTTGTTAAACTGAAGTAGCTCTAGAACTGCATTCAGATCAGCACATGAAATATAGATTTCAGTGGAACTTTAGATTTCATGCTTCCTGGGAAAGTAGTTGCATGTTTGTTCTACCTGGTTCTACCTTAAGCAGGACAACTCAACAGTCCTGCAAGGCAAATAACAAACTTCCTCCATCAAAGCTGCAGAATCAGGATTTATTTTTTAGCTGAAGGGATTCACCAGCCCCAGTTGTTCAGCACAGCCTTTGTGTGCGTTTTCTTATGCACAAGAGCATCTGAAAATGCAACTTTCCCCTCCATTCCCTAAAGCATCTCCACATTTCCCTGAGAGAGAATGATCACTCAAAATGAAATCAGAATATGGCCTTGACTTCTTCACGGAATAAAATGCCAGCAGTTAGTTCTGCTGCTTCTCACAGCCTTCTAGATGACCAGGCACCTCTGGATATGAAGTGTCACTCAAAGCAGACTTTCAGTAAATAATCACTGTTCCACCAGCCTTGAAATGGAAACCCTTTTCTGCATGGACTCAAAGCTTGCCTACTTTCCCCGTATCTTTATTAAGCATCTTCTCCATCATCTGCCAAACTGCTGCTTAACACATCCTGGCAACCTGCCCCTCATATATTGCAGCAGATATGGCTGGCAACAAGCAGAGCTTATCATGGGGTATTAATTACTTGAGCATAAATAACATTCCCTCTTCTCTCAGCTTCATGATCTGCTCTTTCTCATGGAAATACATTTGTAATAACGAGAGAGACAAAACAATGAGGCAGTAAATTTAAGCCTAAAATGAGTGACGAGTCTCGCAATGAGTGAAAGTTAATTCCAGGCAAAATAAAATGAGAAATAAATGTGCAAACAGCCACTTTGATTAACCACTGGAACCAACTGCCAAGGAAGGGACGGATTTTTTCATGATATCACAGAATCCCAGAATATACTGAGTTGGAAGGGGCCCACAAGGATCATCAAGTCCAACCCTCAGCCCTGCACAGGACACTCTAAAAGTCACACCATGTGCCTGAGAGCATTGATATCTTCAGATCAGCCTAAGAAATATCCTTTAGTCAAAATAAGGAGTCTAAATAAGCATAAATATGAAAACTCATCCGGGAGAAAGAAGCACACAAAGCACACAGGTCAGCTTGGCCATCCAGGAGCACCAGTGGCACTGCCCAAGACCAGAACAGCTCCAATGCTGGGCCTGGGAAAGCAAAGGATGGAATAAACCCAGTGGGTGTGCAGGGATCCCCTCCCACTGCATTCCCAAGCCCTTCCATGGAAGCAAGGGGAACACGAAGCCTTGCTGGGAGCAGAGCCTGCTCATCAGCTCTCCTGCTACAGAGGTGTTTCCAGCTCCTGCCACAGGGAGGAATATAAAGCACCAGAAACGCAGCTTTTGGTTGCTCCAAACCTCTCATTAGTGCCTGCAGGACACAAACACACCTGGGATCCCATTCTGCCTCCAGCCCCGACTCTGACACGTGCTGTGTGTGCCAGGCGGGGTTTAGCTCTGGGCTGTTGGGAAATCATCTCAACGTGTAGTTCTGCCTGTTGGGAAGACAATTTATATGTATGTGGAGGCACCTGGACTCGTGAGGAATAATAAAGCCCTCAGGGGGTGTGTTAAAATGCAGGATTCAGGGAGGAATGTTTGTGTTTGGGAGTATATTCTGTGTACACACACAAAAGAGGCAGCTCTGAGACTGCTGTTCTGTACAAATGCATAAGTGGCTCCTACAGAAGTTGTGGATGGATTCTGTTGTGAATTTGGCTTATCAGTGATACATTCATAAAGCAGACGTAATTATTCAGTCTTTTGAATATGTATTTTAGGTTGTCTACTGGGTGCATTATGGAAATGTGAATGGCTATTTGTGCATGAATAGTGTGTTTACAGGTTATAAATGTTTCTTGTGGAGTATTAGTTAATATTTTTTTAAAGTACACTGATGAGTGTCTAGTTTATATTGGATATTTATGTGGGTGGACATATCTATGTGAGCTATTTGAACTCACATAAGAGATGCAGACTTGTATTTAATTGTTCATTAAAGCAGAGAGTGGGTCTATTATGTTTTTATTCCCGTGGTTTATTGTCCCTTTGGAACAGTGGGGAAATTGATATAATAAAGTGATATAATTTCCAGAGATGACAATTCTGGAAGAGGTGCTATCCCTTTCTTTCAGAAAAGTTCAATATGCCCCCTAAATCTCTCTTTGGGATAGATTTCAAGAGAAGGACAACCCTGGAGCCTGCCTGCCATGCTTTGGAAAGGGTATACAACTGGATCATGTCACCAAACCCAAAAAACTCATGGCCAGGCTGCACAACTTGAAAATATGGTTTAAAAAATATACAAAACATGGGGTGCACCCAGCTCTGGGGGCCACCCTCCTCCAGATCTGCCCAGCTCATTGAGGAATGAGCTGTGTCTCCAATTGTAGAGACCCAGAGAAGTTCTGTGGCTGCTGCTCCCACAGGCACTGTTGGAAGCACTGATTTAACTTGGCCAGATTTGCAGATTCCAAGCACAGAATGAGGCCATGAAGCCATCAGAGCACAGAGCTGCTCCAGGGCTTTGCTTGAGAGGGGAGAAACACCCTCCTTGTCTCCCATCCCCTGCACTGGGATGGATTTTCACTTTGCTCCCCAACCCAGCCCTCAGCAATTCTCCAGCCAGCAGTGTCCCATGTGGCACAGCCGGAATTCCCGGTGTGCAGGGCTGTGAATTCCCAGAGCTGACAGTGCCAGGAAGGAGCAGTTTTGTGTGATGAAGTCGCGAGGGCAATGAGCAGAGGAAAGAGGGGTTTGGATGTTTGGAGGTGGCTCCTTCTCTCTTGTTCCAGCCAGGAAAGGGAAGGTGTGGAGGGAATCCAGGGCCCTTTGCAGGCTCTCCCAGGAGGGACCCATCAAATCCTCTCCTTTTCCACTGAGCTGGACAAGGCAGCTCGTTGGGCAGGGCTTACATAACATCCCTCTGAGGGCTCCAGCTGCCTCTGCCTTGCACACATCCTTTGCAGTTTTACTTTCCACTCCCATCTCCTCCGTTAGTTCACTGCAGCTACAGAGTGAAAAAATTCTGAAAACCAGTTTTGACACATAATTATCTTGCAGAGATAGGGGGAGAAGACAAGAGATCAGAAAAAGAACAAACCCTTCTAAGAATCTGATTTTTCTCCCTATTTTTTGCCCCCTGTTCCTCTGAGGCTTAGGATGGAAAAAGAGGAAGCTGAGCAGAAAAACTAAGATGAGATCTTTGGAAAAACACTGTTCTCTCCCAGTCTGCAAGATGCTTTCTAGAACTGACTAGTGTTTCAAATGAAGTTACTTCACTTGGAAAGTTCCTGTGTAACATAATGGTAATTCCTGTATCCTGGAGGCCAAACTGGCTGCTGGTTCTTAACATGGGATTAAGTTCAACAGAATCATGTCGTGTTTATTCTTTCACCTCCTCAGAAAAAAAGAATAAACTCAAATTTCTCTTTTATCTACATTCTAACAATCCATCTCTAAAGTATCTCTGGTCCCTATAGATAATATTCTCCCCTTTGTTTCCATGTCAGTAAGACATATTTCCAGTTTATCTTGACTTTGTATTATTATCAAGAGACAAAACCATATTTCAGATCCCGAGTGTGCAGTTCAGTCCATCCCTACTACAATGCACATTTATTTCACAGTCCACTCCTATACAGAAAATAACTCTTCCATATTATATATCCTTCATTCCATTTAATAAAGAAGTGGTTCTGCAGGTGTCTTATTTTTTCCACCAAAGTCTGAGAGATAAGATTTTCCCCAACAAGGCCAGTTTTTTCCTGTGTTGTTGGAATTTGTGGAAATCTTTCATCTCACAGACTATTTTTCCTCATTCCTTTTCTGGACAGGACAATCTTCTTTGGGAAATCTGGTTCTCTGCCCCTTCTAAAGATCAAAACTGGTGGCTTCAGTTGCGTCAGTGTGTGTTCCCATTACAGGAACATCAGCATCTCAACCTTTTTTTTAAATACATACTTTGCAGAAGAGCAAAGAATTTTCTGAACTACTCCAGGGACTCTGAAAGTCCAAAACATTTCAAGTCCCAGATAGCTACTTCCTTTGTTTGAAATCATCACTTGGAACTGAAACTGGAACATCCAGGCCAGAAAAAAAACTTCACTGGGGCAAGATCTAAATTTACTCAGATCATGGGCAGCCTGTGAAAGGTGTCAGAGATTCCGTGAAGAGATGACACAAAGCACTTCAGTTGGAGAAGACAAAAAGACAAAATGTTGGACAAATATGCTAAAGGTTTGCAGGGAAAGCTGCTCCATTCATATCAGATTTTGCAGCAAATAAATCACAATGCCTGTGATCCTGGAGGAAAACACTGAAATCTATTTGTAAAATTCATGAAGGCAAAATATTTCACTACATACAAGAAGACTTTTTTTTCCTTTTTTTTTTTTTTTAATTTAGCTGTAACAATGTCTACAATACATTGACTCACAAATTAAGTGAAGGTATGAAATCACATTCTTCATACTGAGATGGGCCATTCTGGACTTTTTGAACCCCCCCCCCCCCCGGGAAGGAGAAGAGTTCTGAATGTCCAACAAACACCTTTTGAAACAACCAGTGGTGGGAATTTCAGTTTTACCGGCGGTGAGATGGAGTGAGCCTCGTCCAGAGGGATCAGAGAGCTTTGCAGGGGAGAGCAAAGCCTCGTCCATAGGGATCCAAGTGCTCTGCAGAGGAGAGCAAAGCCTCGTCCACAGGGATCAGAGAGCTCTGCAGGGGAGAGCAAAACCTCGCTGTACAGAGGAAAGGGAGGGAACCGAGGCACTGCTGTGCTGGGCTCGCCAGGATCGCGCGGCAGGAGCAGAGCTCAGGACACCAGTCCCAGTCTCTGGCTCCCGGTCAGTTCCCGGCTCTCCACACCAGTCTCCCAGTGGGTGTGGGTGGGTCGGGTGTTATACAGGCATCTCTCCTGTTGTGCCATTGGCTCCATCCAATCCTGCCGGCTCCCTGCCTTCCTCCTCCTCCTCCTCCTCCTCCTCCTCCTCCTCCTCCTCCCGGGCTGTCTCTGCCTCCCTGCCCCCGCTGAGCAGGGTGGCACCGCAGAGGTGGCCCAGGAGCTGCCCTTCCCGGCGGGACTCGGCCAGTTCCTTGGCACAGCACACGGGGGTGTTGGTCTCGTAGGTGCTGTGGAAGCTGTTATAGTCCACCTCGTAAAAGTCCTTCTCCAGGGTGAGCACGGGGGTGAAGCGGTGTCCCCACAGCACCTCGGTGTCCATGTAGGAGCTGCGAGCCTGGCAAGTCATCCCTGGGCAGAGAGAGAGGGATGTTAATGCAGCGCTGGCTCAGCGCTCGCCCGACCGCTGTGCTCCCCTAAAAGCACTTTCGTGTCGTTTCCAGCCCTGGTTGCTCTGGGACCCACGAACGGCTTCGCTTAACGAGCCTCACAAAAGCCTCCGCCACGAACAGCTGAGCACCCCCGGGAAAGGGACGGATTCCTGGTATTCCTCGCCGTGCCCTCCGCTCCCTGCTCCTCGTGCTTTGCTGCCGGCACCGCCAGGGAATGGGAATGGGAATGGGAATGGGAATGGGAATGAGAATGGGAATGGGAATGAGAATGGGAATGGGAATG